ACATGAATCACTGTGTAGGCAGCAGAGAACTTGGGTGTAGTAAATGCTCATTAAAGGTCGGCCCATATTTCCCTTCCTGCTCTAAGGGCAAGTTCCCTTCGCACCATGAGAACCCGGCTGCCCTCACAAGCAACCCCACCCTCCTACCTCGGGCACTATTGCCTCAAGCACACCCACAGCAGACTGTAGGAAGCTGTGCTCAGCCTGGGCTGGGACGTGCACAGCACCCCTGCTCCAGGGGCTCCCTACTCCCAAGCCACGTGACCCCCCCAGACTGCTCTCATCTGATCTGTAGGGCTGGAATCTGAGTCACTGGCACGCTGGTGTTGACCTGCAGGGTGCCCACAGCACGCACCCCTCTAATGTCATTTCCTATGGCCATACTGAGTGTACCGGGCAGGCCTCGAGCTCACAATACTGAAATCTAGCCTTGCTTCTAGAACTTAATCAGCCTGCTCATTCTTGCCTGGAATGCTCTCTTCCTTCTATCAACCAGACAAGCCCCCCCCCCGGCCTGGAGATTGGGCTGGAGACAAGGCTCCACTCACAGTGTCTGTCAGGGATCCCCCACCTGTACCCTAAGAAGACATAGCCATAGGGATCCAGATGAAAATGGAAGGCCTCAGACCCCTTCATTCAAGGCTTGACTCTAAGACCAGGGTTTATAACCTTCAGATACAAATGAGGCAGCGAATGGACAAGGCCAATTCACCTGGGCTCTCTGACTGCAAAAGAGCCCTGGCCAGTAGCCTGCAAGTGCCCCGTGCTGAGTGGTCCAGTCAGAGAAGGAAAACAAAATGTTCACATGTAGTTACATTCTATCTTCCCCAGACCCAAAGGCCACTCATGTTCTCTCACTTTGCAGATAGAAAACTGAGCCTCTCCTCCCCCACCCCCAGCCCCCACAAGTTCAGGTTTTTGATTCACTCTGCAAAGGAGCATGACAGGCCTGGTACAGACAGTCCTCAGGCTGGACGGCAACAGATCTGCTCGGGTGTCGGGTGGGTTCTGGTACAAGCCAACCTAGTCTGGATGTCAGGAGGGCCACAGCACAGGAGAGCTCCAACTGCGATGGGCACTGCCACAGAAGGCAGCTGCAAGCTGACCAGTGAGAGAACAAGGAACAAGACAGGGGGAGGGACAGCTGTGCACAGAGGAGGAAGCGTGACTGAGGGGACAGAAGGGCAGACATTAGGCCCACCTGTGGAACTCACTAGGCCACAGACAGTGTGACACCCTGGAACAGCTGACATAGGAGACCTAGGACTCATCCCAGGCCCCCACCTAACCCTCAAGCCTGGACCAGGGGTTAGGAAGGTGGCTCAGCGGTAGAGTGCTTGCCTCGCATGAATTAGGCCCTGGGTTCGATTCCTCAGCACCACATAAACAGAAAAGGCCGGAAGTGGCACTGTGGCTCAAGTGGTAGAGCACTAACCTTGAGCTGAGCTGAAGAGCTGAGGGACTGCACCCAGGCCTAAGAGTTCAAGCCCCACAACCGGCCAAAAAAAAAAAAAGCTGGGGGCTGGTGGCTCACACCTGTAACCTTAGCTACTCAAGAGGATTGCAGTTCAAAGCCAGCAAGGAAAATAAAGTCCATGAGACTCTTATCTCCTATGAACCGCCAGAAAATTGGAAGTGGAATTGTAGCTCAAAGTGGGAGAGTACTTGCCTTGAGCAGAAGAGCTCAGGGACAGAGCCCAAGACCTGAGTTCAAGCCCTACAACTGACAAATAAAAATAAAAACCAGTGGGTGGGGAAGGTGGCTCAGTGGTAGAGCGCTTGCCTTGCATGCATGAGGCCCTGGGTTTGATTCCTCAGCACCACATAAGCCAAAAAGAAAAAAAAAAGCCAGAAGTGGCGCTGTGGCTCAGTGGTAGAGCACTAGCCTTGAGCTGAAGAGCTGAGGGACGGCGCCCAGGCCCAGAGGTGAGGCCCCACGACTGGACCCAAAAAAAAATAATAATAATAATAAATAAAAACCAGTGACAGTGACATGCTGGGTAGGTCACTGTCACCTCTTCTGCATAGGGTTCCCAGGTCCTGGTATCCCAAGGCCACTAAAGATCCCTCAGAGGGAGGAGGGAGGGAGAGGAAAGCTTATGTAATTGCCCATTATCTCCAGGACCTTTGCTCCCAGCCTGCCAGCTTAGGAAAAGCCTCCCTATTAGCAGAGTTGGGACTGAACAGAAAAAAAAAAAGCAAAGAAAGAAAAGAAGAAAAAGGAAAAAACCCATTCAGCTTTTTTTATTAAGGCCCAGACCCCCCCCCACTTCCCACCCTCCTTTATAAACCAATAAAAACACAAGTAGAACAAACACAGCTCATTTTGAGAAACTCAAAAATGCAACTCAAACTTTAAAAAGTAAATGGCACCCATCCACTGCCTGGCTGGAGGTTTCTCTGAGTTTGGGGGAAGGGAAAAGGGCATGGTGGCAGCATGGTGGGGGGTAGAGGAGGGGGCACTCAAAGGGTATACAGTGGAACTAGTAAAATAGAAAGGGTTCAAAAAAATTGTTTTTCAGCCAAGCACCAGTGGCTCCAAGCAGGAGGCTGAGATCTGAGGATCCCAGTTGAAATCCAGCCCTGGCAGTAAAGTCTGTGAGACTCCTATGTCCAATTAACCACCAGAAAACCGGAAGTGGAGCTGTGGCTCAAAGTGGTAGAGCAGCACTAACCTTGAGCAAAAAAGTTCAGGGACAGCACCCAGGCCCTGAATCCAAGCCCTATACCTGATTTAAAAATAAATAAAAATGGTACTGGTCCTAGGTATGGTCTCTTAGCTTTTTTGCTCAAGGCTAGTGCTCTACCACTTAAACCACAGCTCCACTTCTGGCTTTGGGTGGTTAACTAGATAAGAGTCTCATGGACTTTCTTACCTAGGCTGGCTTTGAACCTCAATCCTCAGATCTCAGCCTCCTGAATAGCTAGAATTATAGGCATGAGCCACAGGTGCCTGACCCAAAAAAAAAAAAAAGTTTTTTCTTTTATGCTGGGGATGGAATTCACTGACTCACACATACTAGGCAAATACTTGCTCTACCATTGAGTTACATCCCCAACTCTGAAAACTGTTTTGCTTGGGGGGAGACTACAATGGCTCATGTTAAGACCTAAATCTCTGATGTTTAAGCCATCTACCAGTGAGCGTGGACTATAGCTATGTGGAGGAACACCCTAGCTCATTTCAGACTCCAGCCAATGGATGTGTTCACAAGCCTGCTGAGCCTGCATGGAATACAGATGTCCACCTCCACCAATCTAGGCCTTCTAGTGTACCCAGTGCCACGGCAAGCATTCTACTGTTGCTCCCCAGAGAGGACTGCAAGGCCACGGGTTCCAGCTCAACAGCAGATGCTGCCACACAAGGTGCTTGCATAGGATCATTAGGGCGAGCTGATTGTGCATGGGGCAGAGCCTGGGAGAAAAGGCCCAGTGTGCCCGGCAAGCCCCCCTCCCCAGCCCCTGGCTCAGCAACTGTTGAGATACAGGGTGTGTAGGTGCTCACTCCACAGTCCTCCTCTGGAGGTAGAGGGGCACGGACCCACCTTTCAGAAGTGGGGCACCCAGGGGCTGGGCAAAGTTAACTAACTTGCCCAAGACTGATGAAGGAGCTGAGAGATTCAAACTCAAGCCGGGTCAGACCCTCCCGGGGGCCTGGGGGAGTGGGGTTATCAGCCATCTGCTCAGTAGCCACAGATAAGGAAGTAACACTTCCTATCTTGGGAGAAACAGGGCAAACCTGGGTCAGGAATCCAAACAGGGAATGGCCAGGGTACCTAGATTAATGACAACAGCCAGGGATGCAAGCCGGCCTTTGCCTAAGCAGCAGAGAGGAGTGTTGAAGACCCCACTCGGGCAAGGCTAGCAAGGATCTAGGCTTCCCCTTGCAGGACTGTAAAATGGGGATAACAAAACCTGGCCAGGGTTCCTGTGAAGACAGACTGAGGCCAGGTACTAAGGAACAATCCCACTCTCTTCTCTTGCCCCCACCTGAACAAAACACTGAGAGACACAGCCTCATCAATTCCCTGGCTCAGCCTTGACCTTCACCAACATAACACTCAAGTCCCAGTATTGAAAAACCCAGTTCCTAGGGGAAAGGCCCTTTCCTGTTTCCCGGAATTCGGCACTGACTGGAGGAAGAACATCTGGAGATGTTACAGACAGTCCTCTCTGTAACTGAAATTTGTGGTAACAATGCTGAGTTTTCATTCACCCCTCCCCGCCAGAGCAAAGCTTGGAGTCTACCAAGTTGGCAGCGGTCCCAAACCAGGGGACATGAGGGAAGCTGAAGGAACCCAACTCCACAGCCCTGACCTACCCCGCATGGGGGAAAGTTAACATCTGGCCTGGTCCTCCACTCCTGCATTATTCACTGATGCAACTAGAACTCTGGACCATGCCCCGCAGTGTCTCCTTGCACAAAACACAACAGATCTGTTCCTGCAAAGAGATGGGGCCACTCAAGCGCTCTGGAGTCCTGCAGAGAATCGCTCCCGCCAAGTGTCATTGATGACGCAGCTGAAAGCCAGAAAGTCTGGCCACCAGACTGCAGTCATCTCCTCCTCCCTGCTTCACTTGGGGAAACTGAGGCCCAGAAAAATGACCCTCCCAAAGCCCCCAGGAAGAGGAGGCCAGAGGCTCAAATGCTCCAATAGTAGAGTGCACCCCTAACTGATGAAACAACTTTACTCTGAGTTGTGTGGCGGGGGGAGAGGGCTGGCCTGAAGAAGCCTGCAATGGGAGGCCTGGTGAATGTAGACTTACAGAGAAACCTGAGTTGCACTTGTAAGGTTACTAATCGGTAACAATATATCCATCCCTGCAGAGCCAGTCCTGCCCTGAACTGGCAAGCTCTGGATGGTAAATAAGGGGAACACCGCTGCACCAATACCATCACCCTGGGTCTAGTGTCCACCTGCCCAGACCCCAATATGCCTGCCAAAGCCACTTGGCCACCAAACCAAAGAAAAAGCATCTCTTTGGGGCTTGCCGGGCGGTCACTTGGGGACCAGCAGTTCTCTAAGGTGTAGATACATAGTCTCTGAGTCAGAAAGGTCTGAGGACAAACAAGAGAGGGCAATTTATTCTCCACCATCACCCAAGCCTTCTAGGCCACTGCCACCAGAGAGGAAGGCCAGCCCCAACCAGGCAGGCGAGGAGGGGGGTTGGAAACAACAGAGAGCCAGGATGAGAGGGAGTACATCAGAGGACTTCCAGAGACACCATCTGGAGGACACCTTTGGCACAGAGCCAACATTATCAGGGACAAGTTGACAAAGCCACTGGGGAACATTCCAGAGGCCACATGTCCTCCCATCCACCCCAGCCACAGACCACAGCACTTGGTTGTAAGGTGATCAACAGTTGTGTAAATCCCTTTCTGGGGCTTTATCCCCTTCTCAAGAGACCTATATGGCCCTCTCCAGTTTACAAACAAGGAAACTGAGGCACATAGAAGGAGAGGAGGAGGGGGGAGGGGGAGCAGAATCCATTCCAACTTCCTATCGTTTACTTGGAGACTTGGTTTGAGAAAAGTCCCCTGAAGTAAGTAAAGGGGGAAAGAAACCAGGAAGGCTTTTATCTTAGCCCAGGGAGCGCTAACTCAGCTGCCTCAGATCTCAACGCAGCTGCCCGAGCTCCTGCCTAGGCCCACGAGACGCAGAGGAGGAATTCCAGCCACCGCACGCAGGTGGACATGGGTTTAGGGGGATCCCCGCCCGCTGCTCCGGGGGGGCAGTTACACCCCCTTTCTTCTTGCTACCGTGAAGAAGTCTCCCCATGCCCTGCAGGAATCTTCAAGGTAGGGTGACACACGTTCCCACCCCACCCCACCCCGCCGGGCGCGCCGACACACCCACAACTCCGCAGCCAGGGAAAACTTTTCTGGGCTCACCCCGCCCTCTCTGCCCCCCACCCCGGGCCAGGCTGCGGATTCTAACACGCGCGGGGTTAGGGGTGGGGGGTGGAGAAGAGGCTAGGAAGGGGGCAAACCACTTCTCAGCCCGGGCGCCCCCGGGCGTCCCTACCGTGTAAGCCGTTGGGGATACTGCGGTGGTGGGAAGGAGCCGACAGGTCGTCCAGGGAGCGGCGCGTGGCTCCGGCCTTGCCGTCGGGGCCCTTGTGCGGCCCGGGCGGCAGCAGCGCGGGCGGGACGTGGTGGTGCTGGTGGTGGAGGTGGAGGTGGTGGTGGTGATGGTGGTCCGGGCTGCCGCCGCTGCCCGCGCTGGACGTG